TTATTTATTTTTGGGACAGAGAGAGACAGAGCATGAACGGGGGAGGGGCAGAGAGAGAGGGAGACACAGAATCGGAAACAGGCCCCAGGCTCTGAGCCATCAGCCCAGAGCCTGACGCGGGGCTCGAACTCACGGACCGCGAGATCGTGACCTGGCTGAAGTCGGACGCTTAACCGACTGCGCCACCCAGGCGCCCCCAGGTGGTATTTTAAACATCAGGGAGGTGATGCTCAGGTGTTCCGACATCAAGTCCCAATATAGTTCTTAAAGTCAGAGGTGTGTGGGCTACAAACATACGTTCCCTGTCATCCATTCACCCAGTATACAGTTGTGGAGCTGTAGGGTAATCAGAGCAAACACCGCCATTCAGGAGAAGGAACAGTGCAAGACAATGGTTCCTAATATGTAGTCATTCTGACATCTAGACGGGTGTCTGTTTTCAAGGACCTGCCTGCTCGGAGAGTGGAGAGATTTTTGTGATCTGTTCCCGTTGGTCTCTAAAAGGGGTTTCCCCAGTACAATATTCTTCGTAGCTCCACTTTGGCCCTCTGGCATACTCTTTCCTTTCTGTTACTCTCCTTGGTCACCTTGATATATACCCTCCTTGGAGACTAAGCAATATTCTCAGCTCTCCTTCTGCCTATGGGAGTTGGGTGCACAGGGTCATTTTTGTCTTGAAAGGTCATAGACTTTATATTTTTAGTTCTTGGCAATGCAACTCTCTTGGTAGTCTTATTACTTATTTGATTCCAGTCAGACCTCTGTGTCAGTAGCCATACCCTCAACTGTAGACTGGATTTGCTGTATTTCTCCCCCTCTCTCCTTTCCTCTTTTCCTACCTGCGTTTTTAGATTTTACTACTGAAGCTTTGAGCCTATCCGACCTCAGTGGGAAAGCTGCATGCTCAGATTCTTTTCCCTGAGCCATTTGCCCAGTTGAAGGCATTTATTTTCATGGTTAACAACCTAATTTGCTTTGCTCTGAATATACTTAAAATCCATTTAGACAGGGAGTTTGGGTGGCTCACTTGGTTGAGTGCCTGACTTCGGCTCAGGTTATGATCTCGCATTTGTGGGTTTGAACCCTGCGTTGGGCCCTGTACTGACAGCTCAGAGCCTGGAGCCTGCTTCCGAGTCTATATCTCCCTCTCTCTGCCCCTCCCCTGCTCATGCTCTTGTCTCTCTCTGTCTCTCAAAAAATAAAATAAAGATGTTAAAAAAAAATAAAGAAATTTTGGCACTGTGCATGCTAGCCACGTTTTTTATTTGTCCCTGTTGCATGACTGAGTTTCAGTTGTCCTTTGCAGCTAAAACACCTTCTCAGGTTCATATTTTATCATTTGGGGTTGGGAAGCAATTGGCTTCAGTTTCTGAACTCCATTCCTTCTTGACAACCAGCCACTTCTTTATCTCATTGCATTCTTTTATTTATTTATGTATTTATTTATTTATTTAGAGAGCATGTGTGTGTATGTGTGCGTGCGTGTATGCATGCACACACATGAGCAAGAGAAAGGGAGAAAGAGGATCCCAAGCAGGCTCCACATTTTCAGCACAGAAACTGATGCGGGGCTCAATCCCACAAACTGTAAGATCATGATCTGAGCCGAGTTCAAGAGTCGGACGCTGACTGAGCCACCCAGGTGCCCCTCATTCTGTTCTTTTCGTACTTAGTCAGATGTAGCTGATAGTAACTGACAGCTTATCATTGCAGTACCATTTTCCATCCTCTTTCTTTAGAGCTACAAGTTTATTATGTCTTTGATTTTTGCCGGCTGCAGTTTTACAAAATGTTCCACTGCATAAGGATTACCAAACTTCCATTCTCTGTTACAGTGTCCTCCCCACCAGCTGCCCATTAAGCTAATGCCATTTTTAGATTTTTGTTTTAGCAGTGTCTCATTTGTGCTACCGATTTTTGAATCAGGTAGGCTAGTTGACATTGTGGTAACAGACAACTCCAGAATTTCAGGAGTTTGGCACAATAAAAGTTTGCTTTGCTTCTTACAGATCTAGTGCAGTAGAGCAGGGGGCTCTGCTCCTCATAATCACTCAGGGATCTGGGATGACAGAGGTTTCATCTCATGTGCTTTCAGAGACAGTGGAGCAGTGGGAGGGAACATGGCTTAACTATGCACCTGTCCTTAAAGCTTCTTCTGTTAAATAACATTTCCCTCATTTTTCAATGCCAGAACAAGTCATGTGGCTTGCCTAAAGCCAAAAGAACTGGGGAAGTTCAATATTACCATTTGTTGAGAAGATAAAGAGCAGAAAATATTTGATGAATATCACTAATGGCTACCATGCACACCACAATATTTACCTGTTCCATGTTTTTCCTGGAAACTTTCCTCTTCAAGTCTACTGTTGGATTAATGCTCTGGGCTGATGTTAACACTGGATTCCCCTTTGGCAATAGATTTCCTAGAGAGAATTCCCATATTTTTGTCATTCTTTTTTTTTTAATGTTCATTTATTTTTGAGACACACAAAGACACAGCATGAGCGGGGAAGGGAGACACAGAATCGGAAGCAGGCTCCAGGCTCTGAGCTGTCACCACAAAGTCCAACGCAGGGCTCAAACTCGTCAACCACGAGATCATGACCGGAGTGGAAGTCAGATGCTCAACAGACTGAGCTACCCCTGTGCCCCTATTTTTGTCCTTCTTAACTTACTTTTTCATTTTGGTGTATTAAGCTTCTTAAGAAAGCTGTTACAGGGACTAAATGTATTTTATATTTGTATATTAGAAAATGTCTTTATCCTTACATTTGATTGTTAATTTGGGTGGATATAAAATCCTGTATTAAAACCATTTAATCTCTGAATTTTGAAGGCATTTCTCTATTGCCTTTTAGTGTATTGTGTTAACTGAAAAGTTTGATGCTGTTCTCATTTCCCATCTTCTCTGTGGGACACGTGCCTGGTCCTTGTAAGCTTTTAGGATCTTCTCTATTTCTGATGTTAGAAAATATTTCACAGTGCATCTCTGTCTCTGCTTTTGAAAGTGACTTTCATTTGGCTCTTTTGTGGGTTCATTCAATCCAGACATTCATGTTCTTCACTTTTGGGAATGTTTCTTGTACTATTCTTTGTCTTATCTGTCCTACCCCCCCCCATTTTTTTTCTTTCTGGAATCCCTATTTGTTGGATATTGAACATTGTGAAATTATTTTGTAACTTTTTAAACTTTTTTATTTTTTGAGTCTGTCTCTTTGGTCTAATTCTCAGGAGAGACTTTTTTTTTCTAGTGCTATTTGATTTTGGTTTGATTCTTCTACTTTTAGTTTTTATTTTTCTTGTTCTCTCAATAGGTCTTCTTATGTAATATCTTACCTATTTGCAAATATTATGTGACTATTAAAGTTTTATGGGGTTTTTGTTTGTTTGTTTGTTTGTTTGTTTTTTGGCTTCCTGAAATTAGGTTTGTTTCTTCTGGCCTGCCTAACCCTTTGCCTTTTATTTTTGTGTTGCTTTGTTTGGATTTTTCTCTTTCCCTTTGGAGACTTTTATAAAATGGTTGTTGATATTAAACTGGCTGCTCATATTTAAGAATAAGGTATAAAGAAGTTGAAAATTTTTTAGCTAATGTACATGAAGCTTGGTGATTGGTGGGCTTCATTAGAAGGTGATCTGGAGGTGGTCTGACCTTTTAGGTGGGAAACCCTCTCACATTTCCTTATCTGAAGTTCTTTAGCATTATTAAGACTTCTAGAGCAGAATTTTCCTCCCTCTTGCCTGGGCAGTGGGGAATATATGCCTGTCTGCTGGTATTGTGGGAGAAAGGAACGACATAACTACCACATTTCAGGATGTAGATTTTCCATTTATTTCCCTTGTGTTTCACAGGGCTTCTCATTCCAGACTTTTATTTTACCTAACTGCCTGAATCTGTAAACTGTGCTTCAGTTCCTCCAGAGAATAAACCTCCCATTGCCTGCAGCTGGTGAGGATGTACTTTCCTGACACTGGAGGCTGCTAGGAGAGATCTAGCATTTCAAGTTCTCTGCCTAGCTCCATTCTCCATCGAACCTAGTGGCTGGACATTGAGTCTCATAAGAGTTCCTTGGGGGAGTTGCTCAATTCTTGTCTCTCTCTGTGGGTGTTTAACTTATAACCTCCTTCATTTTGCTATGTCAGTGACAGTGTTTTCTGTCTTCTTTGTCCTTGTAGGTTAATACCATTATAGCTTTACTGTGAACAATCTGCCATTTTTAATCAGAACTGTATCTTTTTGAGGGTGCCTGGCTGGCTCAGTCTGTTAAGCATTCAACTCTTGATATCAAGCTCAGATCATGATCTCATTGTTTGAGAGTTGTAGCCCCACAACAGGCTCTGGGCTGGTGGTACAGAGCCTGCTTGGGATTCTGTCTCTCCTTCTCTCTGCCCTTCCCCTGCTTGTGTGTATACATGCGTTCTCTCTCTCTCTCTCTCTCTCAAAATAAATAAATAAACTTTAAAAAAAAGGAACTCTGTCTTTTTTGTTTCTGTGTTTTTAAATAATTCTTCACATGTTTAATTTTTAGCTTGCATGATTTTACATTAAGATAATAAGATATTTAATTACCTATTCTGTTATTGTTGAACATTTAGCTGAACTCTACTGGGTTTTTTCTTCTTTTTTTTTGTCATTTTAACTAAATATCTATATAAACAGCATTTCAAAATCACTTGCATTATCTTTCTATTTAGTTTTTTATAACCAGAAGGCATTGTGCAATCCATTTGATCCTGCTCCCTCACTTTACAGATAAGGAATGTGAGTTATCCCATGGTCAGACAATTCCTAAGTGGCACAGCTAGGCCTTACACCCAGGCAATCTGGCTTAGCATCCGTGCTCTTGACCATTGCACTCTACATCTCCATGGAATTAACCCTTAACTGGCCAAGTTACTGTTAGTTCACAAAGTGTTTTTAAAATTGCAATGCTTTAATAACTAGCAAGGTCGAACATTTTTCTATATGACGATGTGTTAACTAATGCCTTATTTCCCTTTAGTTTGTAGTCTTTCATCTGGAAAATTTGGGACATTACTTAGTGGCTCATGGGATACCACTGCTAAAGTGTGGCTGAATGACAAGTGCATGATGACCTTACAGGTACAGTAGTAGTTCTGTGTGAATGTTCTAGATAATAATTAAATATGATCATTCTGTGGCAACTTAATTTAATTCCCATTTAACTCACAGGGTCATACAGCCGCAGTATGGGCGGTAAAGATCTTACCTGAACAGGGCTTAATGTTAACTGGATCAGCAGACAAGACTATTAAGCTGTGGAAAGCTGGAAGATGCGAGAGGACTTTTTCAGGTAAGATCGGAGTAGACAACTTTTATAATAAATCTCTTCATATTCACTCAGATGGTGTTTTCTCAAAAGTTTAGAAGCTTGAAAATGGTATTCAAAAACCATCAGTGTATACTATAGAACATTGGGGTAAATGTAACTTTCTGACAATATTTAAAATCTTTTTAAAAGATATAATGAAACTTCTCATAAAACATCCAGATGTGGACTAATACATGGCCGCTTGAACTTATAACATGGTTTGCAATTGTTTTTGGCTGTCATTTTAACAAGTTTAGCCTGAAACTTCCAAGCATAAGCCTGGTGACTTGATGGTGGCTCAGTATTGTTAACTTTATATATGGAGGAAAGCATCATGAGTATTTTATGAATACTGAAGTACATTATTTAGTAATAACAAATTTAAACATATGTTGTGGTTTTAGGGGGGTAGTCTTTTTGAACCTTACCTATTAAATAGCTCCTACACTGAGGCATGTGCTAATACTACTATTGATGATTTATTTGTGGTGCACTTAAATTTTTTTTAAGTTGTGTTCATTTAAGTAATATCTACATCTAGCATAGGACTTCAACTCTGACCCACAATCCAGAGTCACATGCTGTTTGTCTGACTGAGCCAGCCAGGCACCCCTTTGGTATAAATTTTTACGTTGTTTTTCTTCTCTTTTATTTTCTCTTTTGAAGTTGATCACTACTCCGGATAATACTGCAAAAGTCCCTTATGAAGATAAAACTATTTGTAGATGGACAAGTTATAACTAAGCATCCCTATGTTACATACAATATATGTTATCAAGTTGTCATTAATCCTTGATAGCTAATCTAAATCAGCAAATACTGAGCATGGGAAATTTTTTAAGTTTTTGTTTATTTGAGAGAGAGCAGGTACATGTGCACTTGAGGGAGGGAAGAAAGAGAGAGAGAAAGAGAGAGAGAATCCCAAGCAGGCTCCACGCTGTCAGCTCAGAGCCCAATGCGGAGCTCAGTCACACAAACCATAGATCGTGACCTGAGCCAAAATCAAGAGGAGGTTGCTTAGGCAACTGAGCCACTCAGGCACCCCAAGCATGGGAAATTCTTTGATTCCTGATCTCCTTTATTAGAGAATATTCTGTCCTTGAAAAAAAATGTAGTATCTTCTGTACTGCCTCAAGTAATATTGAAAGAAATTGAATTTTATGAAGGTTTAAAAAACATTTTACATCCTTTGATTAATGGAATATAGATGTTTTTCCAAGTACATAATTAAGAATATAATATAAGAAGTTTATTCCATAAAATCTTTCCTTTAAAAAACAAATCATTGAGGGGCGCCTGGGTGGCTCAATCGGTTGAGTATCTGACTTCAGCTCAGGTCATGATCTCGCAGTCTGTGAGTTCAAGCCCCGCATCGGGCTCTATGCTGACAGCTCGGAGCCTGGAGCCTGCTTCAGATTCTGTGTCTCCCTCTCTCTCTGCCCCTCCCCCGCTCATGCTCTGTCTCTCTCTCTCTGTCAAAAATAAATAAAACATTAAAAAAAATTTAAAAAAAATCATTGAGACTCCTGTGTGGCTCAGTCAGTTGAGTATCCAACTCTTGATTTCAGCTCACAACCTGAATAAATAAAAATGAAAAATCAATCATTAATATTTACTGTATAATTTCAATGCCTGTGTTTGTATATATTATGAACTGTTTCTATTAACAAAGCAGGGATGTTTGGTTTTATATTTGTTTTTTGGTTAAATCAGAGGGGAGAAGTTAGGATTTGTTGAATCAAAACAACCAGGATTATGAGGCAGGAAACATGAATCTTGTAGCTTTTCCATTAGTTGTGTGGTCCCAGATAAATTAATCTCTCTCAGCATATTCTAAAGTTTACTTTTTATGATGGTTTTTATTTCAAATTCTTAAATAACTGATCTTTTATAATTTAACTTCTCTTCATTTTTTTTTTTTTTGTTGT